CACGCGATTACACCCCCGCGGGGCGAGCGAAAGTGGTTCACGTTTTTCTCGATCCTGGTCCACGTGCTGTCGAATGTTCCCCGCGACATGGAGGACAGAGTGATCGCGGGCCATCGGGGAATTTAGGGGAACAGGCTCAGAGCTCGCGAAAGGTAAGGATATTTTTCTGTAGACGCGTAAGTGACGGGCATAATATTTCAGGAAATAATTTCTCGTGGTTTTTAGAAAATTCGCGGCGACGATCGTGATTAGAGGAGTAGATGTTCGTTAAAATAACGAAGGATGAATAATATTTTGGGAATTTCAATCGTCGACAACCCACAGAGTGCGTTAATCGTGATTTTTTATCCTCCCACGTTCTACTTTCTTCTCCGAGAACGTCGAAGTCTGAAATTTCGTACCGTTTCGTTCTTTGTTACAATTTTTAAGATGTCTATAGATCGTTGGAAAACAGCACTATAATTTTACCGAAAAGTGTGTCTAAGTCGCCAAAAAATGTGACGAAGGAGAAACAACGCGTCGAGCTATCCAAAAGTTTGCACTGAATTACGAAGAACGGAATGCTTGAAAGAAAGTTTCCGAGTCACCGATAGCAACGGGATGATCAATGGTCAAGACAGGAGTGTTTAGACGTTCGTGAACGTGAGAATGAAAAATGGTCCACATCCGAGGGCCGTACATTTCTCTGAAATATACAAAGATCGTTTCGATGAGAGCGTGTTTACAAGGAAAGCGTTGCAGCGCGGCGTTCTGTATTCGCGAGCACGTCGAATCGGCGTCAAAAATAGCCGCGGCTTTTGTAAACAGGCCACAAAGCGAAAACAAACTAATTTGGTATACCCTCGAGCCCAAATGAAAAGGGAAGAGCCGCGTGCCGGTCCATTTTTATTGACATTTCTATCGGTTGGGAAATCGTCGACACGGGATCTGCAATTAAAATCGCCGAATTGCGTTCAATTGCTTAACGAGAAACGAAATATCGTTGATATTCTGTGCGTAGAACGTTGCACTGTACGCGCAGATATATTCATTCGATAATTTTTAACAGAAGCAGCTTCGGTATTTTGATCATTGCACAACGAGAGATCTGGATCGAATTATTATCGAAAACTTATATGGAAAAGAAGCTTCGTTAATAATTGAATTCTCGTGCAAAAATATTTATACTGGATCGCTCGATACAATCCTTTCTGCACAGAAAATTTCATAATTTTTCGCAAACGGACAGATGAAATATTTTGTTTGTACTACCAGTGATTTCGAACAGATCGTTCGCACCTATTTCGCAAGTCTATCGTTAAAACCATTGTAAAGACTGAAAGTGCCGTTCACTGCTGTCCCGATTGCGTTCAATGCACGCAAAAACGTTAAACCTTTCTCGAAATGAGCATAGTTCGAGGCATTTATCCGCGAAAACAGGAATATCAGCGTGCTGGTCGTTTCATAATTGCTTTTTTCTGCTCCGGAGGCGGGCGTCTTTTTGCGATCTCTATGGGGAAAGAGTATTGTCCGCAACGGAAGCTGTTTCACGATGTTCGAATTTCCCTCAAACTTTTTGTTAAATTTGTTAACGTTAAAATCTGCTCACTGGCACGCCGAGTTCATCCGAGCGCAAATTGAAATCGGTTCGACGCGTTCCCTATCTTTCGGGTACACGCGGATCGTTTTCAATCGATGCGTCCACTAATCGTGACAAAACTTGAAATGATCTACCATAAATCGCATCACCGACAAAATTTCGATAAGTGGATATGCTGCACAGTGCTCTCTGTAAAGAACAATCGATCTATTCACGATTTAACGCGTCGGATCTTGCCGCGAAATAAAAGTTGTTCGTCGATTAGCAAACCCGCTCGTTCGATCACTTTCGATCGGACGCTGAAAACGTTTCTGAATCCTTCGAACGATCGCGCCGATTTAGATCTCGCATGCTTGTTTTTGCGACAGGTGCACAAGAGTCCGCGGTTTGTTCCCGACAACGGGAGCGCCGGTGAATAAGACGGCTAATGATCGCGTCGCGGTATCGCACGACGAGTTAATCGTTTCTCCGGTGAGTGTTGTGCAGCAGTACGAATTATGAGAAGGTATTTTTCGACAAGTCAACCGGTGCACAGTGGCATATTGAATAATGGCCCCGTTTATAAATCATCACACACCATCCCCCGCTCGCGTTTAGGTTCGAAAGCGCGTCCCGCCTCTCGTGAGTCACGAGACAGACACTCGTGATCCTCTAACGAGCCTTAGAGATCGACGCTCTCCATCGGGTTCGCACGTGAGCTGCAATTTACCTATCAACGAATTTACCCAGCCCATTAGATTTCGACATTATCTCGTCCCGCGATTAATCTGCCGGATTGATTCACCGCCGTCGCGGTATCAGGATAGGTTTTCTTTTCGTAGGTACGCTATTGTTTTTGAACGGTGAGAGAGAGATCCGAATCTACTCGGGAACTATATAGTCTAAGAATTATTTATATTTTGTGATCGAATTAGCAAGGAGATGGGTCCAGAAGAATGGAGCACAGCGCAGCTTTGTTGACATGAGACTGTTTTCTACTTGGTTGGACCTCGAATAGAGATGTACCGAGATTTGATAGAAAAATTAATTAAAAATTAACTTTAGATTTCACCACATTTTGGTCGATTCGAGATCAAATCTCGGCTTATACCGGAACGAAGGTAGACTGAATCGAGACTATGGCTAGTCTAAACACAGCTAGACTACACATACTAATTTACACTGACTAAACGTAGACTCAGCACAGACTGATGTAAGTCCTGGATTAGATCTACATTCAATCTAGACTGAATCAGAGAAAATGGACTATAGTCATTAAATAGAGTCATTAAATACGTATAACAAAATACAGTTGTTAAGTATAAACGTATTCAACCATACTATTGACTGTTAAATGTCTAGACCGGGGTCAGTTTTTAGCGGTTGCAAAATTTCATGTTCTCCAAATGTGCATGTTGTCGTGATCATCGTTCTAAATAAATATAAACTCTAAAAAATAAAATAAACTCGTCTCGTTGGACAGACTATCGATCTGGACCGAAGGTAGATAAAACTGAAATTTAAATAAACCTAAACTACAGCGAAACGGGAACTGGACTAAACGCAAGTTGAATTTGTACTGAACTAAAATATCGAAGCCTCTAGATTAATCTTGGCAGAAGGCTAAATTAAACTACGTGTATAGAACTTATTCGGTCGCGGTGAAAGCTGCGGCGAATTTCCGCGAGAGGTAAGGAAGATCATAATCTTTGTAAGATTAACGTTCCTTGTTGACGTACAAATCGAGATGCTAGTCCGGCTGCAGAACGTTGCATAAAGTCCATCTTAAGAGCAGTGTCGTGCGGCACCGTAATTACACAGATCGCCAGTGTTCGGACAAAAGAGTCGGGATGATAATGTCGATTCGTCGCGCAGATTCGCGATTGTCTTCGGTATAGCGTCGCGGAATATTTACGCGAAACCCGCGGCAGAATTCGCGGACTCGACGATGACTCGAAACAACAATTAAAAAAAGAAAAGAAACGACGAAGATGAATACACGTATGTGTATGGAAGACGTGTTCGCCGAAACGGGCTCTCGAACGAGATGAATGATACCGTGACCGATCTAATCACAAAGCGTTTGCGAAAAGAAAAATGAAGTTCGCGAGCAGAACAAACAATCTATTGTTTCCTCTAATTTCGCGATTTCATTGGGCAGCCCTTGCGTAACAAATAATGGTAGCAACGGACCGCTCCGGCCAGGAAGGAAAAATCGGTCCCGAGATTCACTGGAAAGATGACAGTTGATCTATGAAACTATCAAACAAAAGAAAAAGAAGAAAATAAAAGAACAACGAAACGTTGACAAGATAAGGCACATACGTGTCTATTCTTGTGTTCCGTTTCCAATTATCTCTGACAAAACAATTCTTTTCTCGATGTTACAGATACCGGTTAGAGTACCTCGGATAAGATGATCACCCGAGCGAAGCTATGGTGGAAACTGCTACATTCCGGCGAACAGAAAGGCGTAAGGGAACTAATTAAATTATGAAACTTGTATTCTCTCATTACGCGCTCGAACCCTGTCGAACCCTCGGCGAAGATGCGCTCCCCCGGGAATTCTTTCAAACGAGTAAACTTCGCGAGGCTTTTACGATATTTGGATGTGTGTAGTTACGAGAGGCCTGTATTTATGTTTTTAGATATTATATATTTTTTATAGGGTACGCTTATGGTTGCCTTGACTTCGGTTAAAAATTATATAAGCAAATGAGAAAGTTCAGAAAATTCAAATGCAGCAATAGCCGCCTTGCGTAAAAATGTTCGAAAAGCGCAAAAAATTGAAATTCACTGTATCTGTCGATTTTCTAAATTTTGCTGTACGAGTTGGGTTTCACGAAATTCTGTTTCCATGATAACGGTTGCGTACAACCTATCAATCGTGTAGCATCAATGCTATCTTTTCATTAGCAAAGCACGGTGTATTATCTTCGTCAATATCCTAATCGATTGACGATTCTGACCGAGCAGATTTTCAAACGGAGTTCGTTCAACATCATTAATTTTCATCTATTGGAAGCACACGTTCCAATAAATAGCTGCACATCTGATTAACTCGAATCCAGACTATTTACATAACAGGTGTTTCACTTGTGTCATCAGTGATTTATATTGATCACCTGATTTAACGCGTTCTTTGACCGTGCTTATCGATCGCTATCGGCCGACAGATAATTACCAATTAATCTAGGTCACTAAATGGTGCCACCGTGTAGTGTACTCTTAACAGTGGTATACGTGAGGATTCAGTGCGATTTTAACTATCGAAGACAAAATGGATCCAGCGAGGAGCGATCCGCGATCGTCGAACGAGTCGACAGTGTCCCCGGCGAGGATCGAGGGAAACGCCACCGGCTGCTTCCGTTGCAAAAGTGTACGCGTAACCATAATGCACTTGAATGATTGCGATCAGTCCGGTAATTATTGTGATTCGACCGCTATCTGCGGAAAACATCTTGCAGACCGTTTTAAACGAGGCCTGGGAGCCTCAATAAGGGATCTCGGACGATTAACAGGCAAATAAACCTGTCCGGAGGATCGATCTAGCGATCTAGATGTTTTTTCGAATCCTCCTCAAATTTGTCCATCGGTCGACGATGCGATTTCATCGGCGCGTTTTTGACAGATCGAGGGACGATCGCTCAGAGACGTTCATCCGAATTATCTTCGTGGCAATTATGTTTAGATAATAAAAACAACGCGAGCGATTATCAGCCACTCTTAATGAACTATAATAAGTATGTCGCAAATGTGTATATTTAGACATTAGTTGTCACGATCCGAATTACCTGCATCCGCATCGCGGAAGCGACAACTGACGCGTTTCTTCTGACTAAGTTTGAAATATTATTCTTACGCTTTTTGTTTTTTTGAAAACCGGAAGCAATGATGAAACAACGCTTCTGTTGTACAGTGGGGACCGTGATGATATGTTTCATAGTAATCGCGGATCTTCACTCGATCATAGCTTCTTCTTGGTCAACTTGGACACGCTGCATTTTCGTGTTTTCTGCTGTCGAAGCGTAGTCGTCTCTGGATTTCTTTCGAGAACTGTCTTTAGCTTCGAGATCCTTTCCAGTTGGATCACTGTGTTACCGTGACAGCGAGATACTCGCTCCGAGCAAGAACCTTCGCGATCGTCCTCCGTGGAAAATATAACATGTTCTTGTTAGTTGCTCGCGGTTGGGGGTCACCGCGAGCTAAATAAGAGCTAGCGAGATGATCGGCCATGGCCACTCGTTCCTTTCATCGCTTTTTTAATGAGGGATTGCCTCTAAGCTTGTCGAACTAAACTTTAATCCAATAGAACCACTGACGATCAATTCAGTCGTCTTTCCATACCAAAATGGTATCAGTAGATCGACCGTGGCCACTCGTTCCTTTCTTCGTCCTTCTAACGAGGAAACTACGGAATAACCATTACGGTAACCATTACGCGTCATCCAAAATGGTGGCAACTGTTGATACCAGAAAGGCCGTATTGTTAACGCGATAATTCTAATAATTGGAAAATATCGATTGCAGTGACCTGGAAACAGATAAAAGCAATTTATAGAGGGAGCACTCTGTAACAGCGCATCGTGACTTTTTTTTAATTTTTTTAAATGTCTTCACCGTTTCCTATACTACTAATTTTTGTCACAAATGCATAAAATTCGCAACCTAATCCTGACGATAATTCGTTGATCAAGGCCCAATCTGAGTCCAAATTTGACCGCGCTTTGCTACATTTCTTACATGAAGTAGAAGACTCAATTCACTCTATGCAAATACCGCTGTCATGGTTAAGCAAATATGAATGAAAAATCGTTCAATAATTATTCAAGCAGCTGATAAGATAAGGCGCCAGTAAACCGCAACAAGTTCATCGAGTCAGTCGGGCTCGAGGACAGACTTGAACCGGTTGCACGAGAAATGTACCGAAGAACGATTCCTCGTAAAGCCCGATGGATCGTTGATCCTCTGAGAAGATTGTGGAAGGTTCGTAAAGAGATCGAGGCGAGACAGAAACCAATCAAATGGGCGCGATTACGTCCGAAGATGGCGGGTATGTAGGAAGCGAGAGACTCTATTGTTCGTCGGCGAGATTGACTACCAAACAGGGAGCAAAGCTCGGGACCACTGTCATTCGCATAATTACAGACCGAGAACTCCGGCGCGCGTCATCCTGATCGTGATCGGAGGAGCCACCGTTCTTCCGCGCGAACTTTGTCCGTGATAAGTCTGCTTTGCGTCATTGTTACGCGCGCGATTCGTTCGATTGTTGTTTGGCTGCTCGACTTGCAGAACCGAGAAGATACGAAATTCCTCGGGTTCTTCCGCAATCGGGAGCCCGGCAGGCGGTTCGTGCGCGGCTTACGTGAACGAAACGTTGTTACGAGCTGTCATCATCGTTTGCGGGTTCCATCATCATCGTTTCAGCACACGTTCGCGGAACTCAACGTCGATTTCCTACCACGTAGTAGCGCGTGAGATCCCCGAGCTTAATTGATTCGCGAATTTTCGGGATGATCGCGGAGAGAGGTTCCTCGCAACCGTTAGCGTTCGATGTAGTTCTTCCGGGTGGAAGATCTTCGAAGGCTTTGACTGCCCATCGTGATGCTGAAGCTGCTGAATGAATTGTTATTAGTAGATAGTAGACTGTACAGGTCGATGAAGGTCGTTTGTTGTACGTACTTCGATTATTGGAATCATTTTGCATCGATTCATGATTTTGCTCGAGAGGTCTCCCTGCAGAGGCATCCTTTGGGTTGATTCATGAACGTCATTTGGCAATAAACACTGTAGCACACAGTCCTTCAAATTGTCGTATTATTCATGTTTCAGATATTCGCAGGCCTAGCCGCCCATTCCGGGCAAATATCGGTAGGGCTAGGTCAAGGGTTCAGTGCGATTCTGCTCCCACAGCTTCAGAAATCCAACTTCGCAGACACCTCACAGCAGTCCTGGATTGCGTCCTTAGGAGTCGTCTCGAACCCTATAGGGTCCTTGATGGCCGGACTGTGCGCAGAATGGTTCGGAAGAAGATCGGCGATCGCTTTAGCTAGTTTGCCGCATGCTGCAGGCTGGCTGCTTATAGCGCTATCAACGAACGTGCCTATGCTGTACGTTGGCAGATTCATCAGCGGGATCGGTATGGGCATGGCGAACGGCCTCTACCTTTATGTCAGCGAGGTGAATATTTTGTTAGTTGTAATTGACGACAAATCACTAAAAAGTGCCTGCAGAATCATGGTAACGTAGCAATTAGCGGTAATATGAAGCGTGACTTTGAGGTATTTTTAGTTCATCGAAGGTCCGAAGACAGCGGTGACACGTTGGCAATAATCAACGCTAACACCGATAGCAAAGCTAGTAAACGTAATTTACGTTAAACGCCTGTAACTAAGTTGTTTTCTTAATGTTGGCAGAGAAGCATTTTCGAATTGCGTGTAGAAACTCGTTTAACTCTGTTTGACTTCTGCAATGAATTTGCTCGTTTAACTTCTGGTTACCTCAGGATGATTATGATGTAATTTAAGCTGTCGCAACGTCCTGAACTGTGGTTAAACAACAAATGAATTTGTTTAGACATCGGCGCCAAACCAGAGAGCTTGGCTGGGAAGCTGTGGCCCGGTGCTGGTCTCGCTAGGTGTCCTGATAATCTACACCCTAGGAGCGATCACCACGTGGGAGAAAGCAGCTGCGATCAGCATTGGACCAGCCATCCTTTCGTTGGCACTGACTCGGTAATTACCAATCCCAACAGTAGCGGTATCCCAAAAACTTCACTTCACGCAGATTATTACTATGTTTGTATTTTCTGCATCAGCATGATTCCGGAAACGCCAGGGTGGCTAGTGGCTAGGGGACGAAACGACGAAGCTAAGGAGTCCTTATTATGGCTTCGAGGAGCCGGCTCGACTACTGATAAAGAGTACGAAGAACTCTGCGAGACGAACTTGAAGAGAGAGGAGAAGAAGGAGAGTTTGCTGAAAGCTCTTCACATGCCCAGCGTTTGGAAACCGTTCCTAATCCTGCTGGTGTTCTTCGCGCTCCAGCAGATGTCCGGGATCTACATAATCCTGTTCTATGCCGTGAACGTTCTGAAAGACATCGATATTAACATCAATGTGGACGAGGACACCGCCAGCGTCGGGATCGGCGTCATCAGATTGTTCGCCTCAATCGCTGGCGCTGGTTTGGCCAACAGCTTCGGTAGAAAAGTGCTGGCCTTCATCAGCGGCTTAGGAATGGCGGTCTCTGCCGTAGGCGTCGCTCTAACCTTCAGGTTCGCATCGTTATTTAATTGGCAATTTAATTAAACGCTCGTAGCGTTACTGGAACTTCGTGAAATCGATTCCTTTCGTTATTGATCTTATATGCTTCCTGAATCCCCAAATCTCTACGGAGATGCATCCCCTCTCCGCTCTTTAGTCGATGTATATCGTTCAAGTTCGACGCAACCATTCCTGACACGTGACATCGGGTAATGACTAATTCATAGATAGAGAAAAAAAATCATAGTCCTGAGAAAATTGAGGCCTGATTCGCATTGTGCTCGACGAACGTATCCCGGTGGAGAGCTTTATCCTGATCGATATGTAGATCAGTGAGCCGCTAGGACGTTTTCTCTCCTTGACACCCATCTAACATCTTTGTAACAGAGTATTTCCTGCTCGCAGGTTCAAGCTGCCGTCGATCATATCCTTGGTGTGCGTCGGTGGTCATGTGGGCTCCTCGATGCTAGGATTCCTCACGTTACCCTGGGTGATGACCTCGGAACTGTACCCTTTAAGGTTCAGAGGACCTTTGGGAGGCATCACGACTAGCTTGGCCCAGCTGCTGACGTTCGGCACAATTAAACTGTATCCAGACCTGCGGCGAGCCGGCATTGAGGTCGTCATGTGGACTTTCGCTGCCGCCAGCATCCTTGGAACCATGTTCGCGGTGCTGATTCTTCCGGAGACCAGGGGACGAAGCTTGGATCAGATAGAGAGCCAATTCTCCAACAAATCTGAGTGGAACAGCGCCGACCAGGCCTTGCCAATAGTGTCCACGGAGTCGAGGAAGACTCTAGAGAAGATTGCATCCTCGGCTGAAGAGAAACGCTCTAGCATCGTGACCAACGCGTACGCTTATGACAATTTATGCTTGGACCTGTCTCCTAACGACACTGGAAAGAGTAAGAATGAGTCGAAGAAGGATTCGGATGCCAAGAGCGACGTTGTACACATTTCATTGCAGCATGTTTATATTTGATGAGGGAGGAGATTGATTTCTGTGAGTCGAAACCAAAGCTAAAGAGTCGTAGCTACGAATGTAAGTATTTCTCAGGCTGGGCCACGAGGAGAATTATTTTAAAGTGATGATGCGGATCGGCCGAATTTTTGTATAGTTCAACTGAATCTTGGGACACATTTGTATTCCTCGTGGTCCCCTTACGTCTGTGATATTTTGGTACCGATATTGGGTAATCTGTAAGAGACCTCGATCATCGATACCACGAACATTCCTATGCCTCTTCTAAATGTGTTCTTCATAAGCCATCAGACAAATTGTGATGGATCACAGGATCCTTAAAGTACTCTGAGGACGATTGAGTGCAGCTCGGTGCGACTTGATGAACAGTGTGACTGTAATCGCATTGGTGAGCATACGATGCCAAGGATATTGGATGCATTCTTGTACAAAGGATTGCACAAACTTGAAGTGACCTGTAAGACATATTTTTTTTTTAAACTTGCGAGCCCATTTATACAGTTACCTTGTGTATATACAGACGTATTTATATTCGTAAGGACCTTTATGTATTAACATGTTTCTTGTTGTTACCATGTACGTTGGTGGTGTTTTTAATAGCTGTACAGCAAATTCTACGCAATGTTGTTTGATATTGTACAATATTAAAGATACTATTTTTACAAAAAATGCAGCAAAGTATTTTGATTTCGGTTGTTTGATGACGCTCGGTGATCAAGCAATTTTCTTTTAGCAAGCATTACTAATCGCCACGTTCTTTATTAAAACATAAACATGCTACCCCAATTATCAATAAATATCGATCTCAGAATATTTATACTAACCAGTCCAAAGGAACTATTGCAGAATGACAATTAATTATTAACAGATAAACGAATTAATAATTAACCAGGGAACAAGTAAAAATTGTATACAAAATCTCGTTCCCGCTGAAATATTTGAATTTTTTGTTTAGCAAATTCTGCCATTCTGCGACAGATGGCGTTCCGATCCACACAATTTGTTATTTAGTTAAATATTTGTTTATCAGCAAGTTTAGCAAGATGTTTCGCATAGAAACGTTGCTGAAATGATCGCTAAACAGTTCCACGTATGCAAAATATATTTCACATTGAATATAATAGCATAGGTAACAACAGTGTACACACTCTGACTGGACCTCTTGTACCTCCATGTGCTCCTAATGCAATGGAATAAATCCGCGAACAACGCCGTCGCTCCAACCTCTATTTTCATGATGCTTTTCTGATTATCTCACTTTGTTCTAAACCTGTCGTATCTCTCATATTTAATACGTATCGTAACGTGACAACTTATGGTCACTGTGGCCACTTGCCTGCAACATAGGGGCGTCCCTCGCTTCCGCACTTTCCCCTGACTAGTCAACAGCGGGAGGTTCGTAGAGGATTTCGGGGAACAAGCGGATACGAGGGGCGCCCTATGTTGCAATCAAATGGTCACACCGGTTATGGCTTACCGCTTGTCGAATCATGTTCCTCTGGCATCCGATCGTCTTTTCTAGTGAACTTCCGTCGTTTTAAACCGGCTCCCCGATGTTCACCATCTCCGACCGTGTGCATTCCTGATCAGAAAACACGAATTTCGACCCTTTTCACCACGGGCTGAAGAAAGAATTTCGTTGGAACGTTTCTTCTTTATCGTAGCCTATCGTTTGTTCTAACCCTTTCGCTGGCGCTGACGGAAGAGGAACTAACGCAGCAGACTCCTCCTTTCTCATTAACATGGTCGCCTGGTCTGAAATCATGAGTTTCGACCCTTTCGATCGTCCTCTCGAGGACACTGAACAGTCCAAATCAAATGAAAATTGTGATCAATCTTCGACACGATGAAAAAATATTTCTCAAATTCGTTTGCAGAAAATGGATTTGCAGAGTCGGTAAAGAATAAGAAAATGCTTGTATAAAAATAAATCGTAACGTTGTTTATTGATTACAAATGGTCATGTAGTACAGATGCACGATACTGGCAGTAGCTGTTAAATTATAGCGCGATTTCGATGTGGTACAATATTAAATTTCCCCTGGAACTCGCGTAATGTATGTATATGTATATGCACATATATTTACACATACGTATAGATGTATGTGTATATATATATATATTTTTATTATTTATATATTCACGGTTGATGGTATTGAAAAATATTTATCAATATGTACAGTAGATACTGCTTTTTTATCTTTCAGAGAAAAATAACGTATCTGAGTTCCCGCGCGTTTCGCATAGACTACGTACAAAATCGGAGATTGCTTCGTGCTACAGGCAACTCCTGTATAACACGGCATTCCTACAACACAGTTAGAGAATTAGGGAAACCCCCAATATAACACGGCGATTCCATTAAAAGAACCATAATATTCCCATAGATTTCCCAAAGAAAATAGAAATTACAAAGTAGCAGCTTCCCTGAGCAAAAAGAAGTAATTTTGTAACAAGAAAATCTTGTTTAATAAAAATAGTATGAATCTGGACGATCATTGATATTTTTGATGAATAGTGATAACAAAACAATGTAGTTTTGGTTGGTTTTTGAAATTCTATACCGAATGTTTCTACTCAATTTCCCATAATATTGTTAGGAACATGGCTACCGAGTTGTACGGGGGTTACCTGTATTTAAATATATCTATCGTTCCGCCCCTTTTGCTTAAGCGATTATTGCAATATCAGTATGTACAATAAAAATACATATCCTCCTGTGTACGATATGATTTAAGACTCGTTCCGACCGCTCTATATTTAAAAAAAATAACTTACTGAGCATTCTAGGTGTCACTTATGCGTCGATAACCGAGTCAAGGTAGACTATGGACTGCGTATGCGATTATTCCGTTAATGAGACTTAACGAAACTACTTGATAAAGGGAATAATACATTTCTGACAAATACCTATTTCCCGTAGCATAGTCTGTGGACATGTGACTTTGCATAAACGTCCAAAGTTCAATAATAAGTATAAAACGGATAACGTGTAACTACTGTCAGAAACACATATCTGATGACAATTCAAAGAAATCTGAAAAATGAGTGTCCACTAATATAATTCATATCGGCATTATTCAATAAATAAATATATCAATTTGCTCCATTAGTATACATACATAGAAAAAAGAATGTCTTTCAGAGATCTCGTGTCTTAAGTAGAATTAATTTAAATAAAGAATAATTGAGAAATCACAGTCGATTAATTAATGGTAAAGTTTCGGTAACACGTTACGACACAACATAAAAGTTTTACGGCGGAGACAAGCGAAACGAATAAGGATAATATTATTGGTATTAGCACGCCTCTCTCTTCATTTCCCGATAACATCCACTTAATTTGTATAAAAAGGGACATACAGCCCAAAAACACGTACAAAATGTTCGGACGCGATGGACGTCGATCGGTTATAATTACAAAATTGATCTTCATAGGCCAGTTCGACGTTTCTTACGAAAGCAACGACTTGTGAATACAATACTACCTAAAATTGCTTACTTTGATTTTTCTAAACCTAGTTCTGATTCTCTTCATATTAGTATCGTATTAATTTCTGAAATCATTATTTCTCATTCGTCACAACCAGGGCTTAATGGTACCACTATCTATAAAAATACTAATATGAATTACAAGAACGATAGCTTTAGAAACTACAATCAAGCAATATTTCTTCTATCCCTTCCATTTTTTCCTCACTATACATTTGTATAGCGGTACCGCGTGTATAGAATATTCATTGCACATGTGTGTCTGACAGTGTCACGTGTCAAGTAGTAAAACCAGACTCGTGAGAGCTGGGGTTTGTAAAGATTCAGGCACCGCCTTTCAGCGTTAATATTCGCTCGAATAATGTACTGAGTTCGAGACCCTCGGTAGCTCAAGGGTAACGACTATTGTTAGTAAAATTCTGAATCTGAACTGTGCTGCGAATCGCCGCTCCTTCCATTTAAATATACTTCAGATGTTTGTTGAATTGATGGCGAGTGTTGTGCGGTTTCCCAGTGTTGACCTGCAATAGTTACAATTTTCTTTTACAAATAACACTAGTACAGATTCAATTAAAACTGTTGAATATACACTGAACATACTGTGAGCGGCAAGTATAGTTGCCAGACAACGCGCCACAGCGCGATTTGGAGCACATGCAAGTGCAGGAGTGAGACCCTCGGCATCTACTGCAACGACGCTTGCTCCTAGTTGCAATAAACGTCTTGTCACCTGCAAAAGTAAATTTCTTATGTTACCAGTTATTCCATAAAAATTATGTTGAGTTCACAAAATTCGTTCAATTACTTTTACAAGACCATTCCTCGCTGCCAAATGCAATGGAGTGCTCTGCTGCTCATTAACCATATTAATGACCGATATCCGTTGCTGCTGTTGAGGCTGTATTGCATTTTCCTCACTAGAATTTTTCGACTCTATCCAACTCAATAAAAGCGAAGCAGCCCCAGACTGACGTCGTTGACAAGCTAAATGCAATGCCGTGTTTTTATTGCAATCGACTGCACTTAAATTAGCTTCCCGTTCAAGCAACAATTCTGGAAGTAAGAAAACATGTGACGTCTCATGGTTTCCTGCTTTCTTAATTTTGTTGATCTGATGAAACCTACCAATGACTTCGCATCTACCGGCAATAGCAGCGCAATGAAGTGGTGTCCGTCCTAAATAATCTGCTGCCTCTATACCAGCTAATTCCGGACCGACTGAGTTCAAGATTAATCTCGCACATTCCAGCGCTCCTGAAGTAGCTGCTACGTGCAAAGGTAGACGGTCACCAGGACTATCTCGCAGCGCGGCAACTGTTTTTCCTCCAAATTTGTTGATTAATAACTCTAAACAAACTTCTGATCCCAGATACACGGCACAATGTGCTGCAGAGAATGGAGTTCCTATATAAAATGGCAAAAACCATCTTAAAGGGGTATACCGATCTAACATTTTTGAAAACAAACCTGTGAAAGATATTTACCTTCCAAAGTATCAATTACGTTCTCCTCTAGAAGGAAGTTCACACAATTGTAATTTCCATTGTAACAAGCCCAATGGAGAACTGTACATTCTTGGTCATCTTTTAAGGTGGCTGCTACGGGGTCTGCTCGTACCAATGAGGCAAGTGCAATTACTCTGTAAGAATACAAATTTAAATGTAATGGGAGGATCGAAGATGATGGGTGATTCTCGTAAACTTACATTCCACAAGCGGCGGCTAAATGCAACGGTGTTTTTCCGTTCGTGTCTTGCACCGCCACTTTTGCGCCATGCGACAACAACAACTTGACTAGCTGGTGACCACGTTCGTTAATAACTGCGCGGAATAACGGCGTGTGTTTGTTAATGTCTGGTAAATTACAATCGGCTTTATATTTCAAAAGTGAGATAATACACTCTGTATTAATGTTCGCTACTGCCAACGTTAAAGCAGTACGCTGCTTTGCATCATAACAATTGACAACGCTTGGGTCTTCTGCATTTTCTAAAAGAAGTACCAGACAAGAATTGAAACCTGCCGCAGCCGCGCAGTGTATCGGTGTGCGTCTACCAACGGAATCCTACAAATAATAATGAATAGTAACAGGTATACAAACAAATGACAAATTAAGAAAGATTTACTGAACTCGTTCATACTTGTATAGATACCAAAGCTCCGTGACTTAACAGTAATTCGACGCATTGCTGGTGGCCTTTGCTGGAGGCCAAATGCAAAGGTGTTTTACCAGAGTCTTCCTTGATATTAGTATTCGGAAATAGTGGCAGCAGTAGGCTTAATATTTTACTATGCCCGTAATACGCCTACAATTCATATATGTCTCGTAAGTATTTGTATTCCAATTCGTTGAGTATATCAAGGGGATACAGAGCATGACATCTTGCATATTAAAAGTAAGTAAAAAATGTGTTCTACATTTGTTTAATATCATCACTTGTTGTACCCCCTTAAAATATTAACATCGTTAGTCGTACGGCAAGATGTAATGGTGTTAACTTCGGTGGCGGTGGTTCTGGTTCTTCCGTGTAATTGGACCCCTCCGTGTTGATTGGTGACCAAGCTTCCAAAAGTGCTACTAAAGCTGGTTGATTCCCTCCAGCTACAGCGTAATGAAACGCAGTGAAGCCACGTTTGTCACGTAAACGTGGATCTGCTCTGTGCTTCAGTAAATACTGTACACATCTAAAAATATGAAAATACGATGTAGCAAAGTTTCTTGAAATAAAAAGTTATATCTAAATTTAAGAACACTCACTGAGCACCAGTGTCGGTCGCAGTCGACGCGGCAGCTAAATGCAAAGGAGTTGCGCCGTCTATATCACGGGCATTAGAATCGCTCCCGAAACCAACCAAAGTGAAGACACAAAAATAATGTCCCTGACTAGCAGCGTAATGAAGCGCCAACCTATTGTCGTCGTCGGTTAATCGGAAATTTGCTCCGTTGGATAATAATAAATCTAGACAATCGACGTAACCTTTAAATGCTGCTAAATGCAATGGTGTCCTACCACCGACGTCTTTGGTATCTATACGGCGGCTGTCGGCTTGCAACAACTTTCTACACACCTGTAATTTAACACACAACGATAAGATAAATCTCACAATGAGTCAAGTAATAATTATTACCTCGATATGGCCTGTTAGACAACTGAGGTGTAATGGTGTACGTAATTCAGCATTGTGCAGTGCTGGAGACGCTCCGTATTCTAACAACGTTGTCGTTAAACATTCGTGACCGTACCTATATGAAATGAAAGATTCAAGTCAAAATATATGATAACTAAAATTAGTGCTCTCTGCTGGTATTTACCAAGCAGCTATGTGAAGAGCAGTATTCCTCATTTTGTCCTCTGTGTCAGCTATTGCTCCAGCATCGAGTAAGCTTTTTGATCGTGTAAACCTTCCGTAGATCGCGGTCATGTGCAGGGGTGTGTGACCATCTTTCGATCGGACGTTGATTTTCGCACCAGCTTGTAAAAGTACTTCTAAACACTGAACACTATTGGGGCTGGCAGCAGCTACATGTAGAGGAGTTTGTCGACGGTAGTTCACAGTCTCTGTGTTTGGACGATTCATTGATCAGATATTTACTAGAAGATTGGATTGTACAAGTTGGTAGATCATCTCACCAATATTTGCTCCATGAGAAATTAATTCCTTTACTGCGTCTGCATGGCCATTTAAACACGCAATGTACAGTGGTGTGTTTCCGTGACCGTTCTTAGCTTCAATATCAGCGCCAGCATTAATTAATATTTGCATACAAGAGACACTGCCAGAAGCTGCAGCCGCATGTAATGGAGTATACAAATCGCGGTCCTTAACATACAAATATACAGATGAGAAAATTATTAGATTGGGACATATGAAATATTTATTGCTTTAGTTCTCTGGCATTAAATATTTCATCGCGTGATTTATTTTATGGTTAATGATCGGTAGACCGCTGTTTATGTTTCTGATTATATCCTCTTACTTTATCCTTGACATCGGCTCTATAGGTTATAAGTGTTTTCACGATACTATCGTGTCCCATAAATGCTGCAAAATGCAAAGCACTGCGATTCTTTATTCTATCATTAGCATTTACTGAACAGCCGATTTTAATCAGATACTTTGTCATTTCAAGGTGTCCATTGTAGGCTGCATAATGGAAGCTTGTTCTACCAGTCCTGAAAAAATGAAAGAACTTGTTGTTATTGCTTATTAAAAGAAATTGATTTGTTCGTTTATAGGACATTATTTCTTTAATATGCTAGGAACTAATAGAAAGTTGTATAAAATTAGTAAAAAGTATGCAGCTACAAACCTGTCCACTATATTAACATCTCTTAAGTATGGAACTATCAGTTGTGCACATTTTACAGCATTATTCGCTGCTGCTACATGAAAAGGAGTTTGCCAATTGCGGTCCCTCAAATTGACATTAGCTTTATGGCGTAACAAAACATGTACTACCTTATGGTTCCCTGAGCAACAGGCCCTATGCAATGGAGTCAACCATTTCTTATCCTTAGCATTTACAGCGGCTCCATGCAATAAAAGCATCTCTACTATCGTGGAATCTCCCATGTATGCAGCTGCATGCAAGAGAGTCCGTTGTCTTGAGTCCGCCCAGCATGCATCTTCTTTTCTAGATAATAATGATAAAACTTCTTCTACAACTCCAAAAAATATAGCTTGCAGTAGGGGAGGCTGTAAAGAATATTACATTAATAAATAGAAATCCTAATGACAAGTAATAATAAAATATTCTTAAAAACATTATAAAAATGAATCTGAATTATTATTCTATTGTAAAGATTAAAATTACATTATAATAAGTGTAATTCTCGAGAATTTGTCTTATGTGACATTCAATATATAATAATTAAATGCAATTGGTATTGTTATATTACAGAAAAGTAGAAAAGAATAGCAGAATTGACACATGAGTCTAACCTCCGGCTTTTTTTACAGTTTGATCAACATGCTCGAGAATTGTTCAATGAAACGTGTACGCCAAAAGAAATAAAACTACTCACCCCATCGTGTAATTCTTGCACGTTCATGATTAACCAGTTTCTCGATTTATACAAATACGGAAGTATTTATAAAAAACACAGTTACAGGACCGTAAAAAACTGACATAGTAGTGTGTGAGTCATAGTCGTCGAACACGTACGGTCGAGCATGTTACTTTCATTTTTCCTGTCAACAATTCTATTCGAAAGCGTACGAACAACATCGACCGTTGTCTCAGATAAACAACGGCATCATTCGTGTGAAAATAACTACCAAAACATGCATAATGATCCTATCCTCCGGTATAACCAGTAACAGCTACCTTTCTATTGGTGTACTCCATCTTTGTTTCTGTCAAGTTCTCTGGAGCTTGTAAACAGATGAATATAACATACATCATGCACCGCCATCGCGCGAAAATTAAAGGGATTTTCTCACGATCTCTCAATTTCAGAAAATTATCAATCAAAAGTTTTCTGAGAAATAGTTCTTACAGATGCAATCTTATTCGAATAAAGGTTGGATTCATTAAGAACGAAGGACTTTGAAGTAAGCTTGTAACACGTTTCGTCATCATTTTTTGATCGTTCAAATCAAATTTCAAATTTAAATAAATTTAAATGATTTTGTAAACAATAATAACATTTATAAATGTAATTATCGTTTGAAACATACGTTCCTTTGGGAAAATATAATCGCGTGAAGTGATAACTTATCTTTCATCTGTTTCCTGTTGTATTGTAAATAAGTATAGTTATTCTGCTGATTCTGAGTCAACATTGTACTTCGTTAATTTCAAGTTAGAAATGAAGGGTGATGTGATTGACTCATCTCAATGTTTGAGGCCAAAAGCAAAAGTCAAGGATACTTCGAAAAGCGGCTTTCTGATTGCATCGCCATCAAATTTGAATTTTACTTTCAGTTCTAGAAATTTGAAAGTTCGAGAAAAGACATTAAAAATCACAAACTATTTCTCTAAATCGTGCCCGATTCAACCGTTACCAATTAAAACTCCGTACTTCCGGTTCGGAAGTGCACCTCAAGTGAAAGAAAATTCTTTGTTCTTACAAGAGGTATCGTATCGCACAAAGTATTAACGAATGCAAATTTATTGCAGACAAGGTGGTTAACCCCTGGATCAGTTCACGAGATCAATATTCAGTTTATTCCTGACGAACCGAGAAATTATAATGACGTTTTAAAGATTCGCTACTTCGACAATCGTATATTAATAGTTCAAATTACCGGAAACGTTAGAACTGGTTTCTGTTTTCCAGCCAATATAAATTTTGGAAATGTTCCGCTCGGTAAAGCGTAAGTTTATCGTTCAACTACTTAACGATTCGTATAACAAGAATAACTGTTTATTATGTAGAGCTTGTTATGAAATTCCAATATGTTCTCAATCAAAAGAACAATTTTCATTCACTATTTTACCATCGAAAGAAGATCCTTGTGTCGACATCTATCCACGATGGGGTGAACTGCATAATCAGTTTTTTACCACTGTCGATAATTTGAACAAAATCAAAAATTAATTTTGTTTTCTAGGCCGTGTCAGACCAGATCAGAAACCTCTAATAGTAATGGTGATTTACAGACCTTTACGGTATATAAGCATGGACTTCCAAATTCGTATATTCATTACGGATTTATGTAAAACTCCGTATATTATAAATTTCTCTGCTTATACTCGACCAGGACTTTTACGGTAAGAATGGTTGCGGAGATAAACAACTTTTTAAGATTAAACAATACCTTATAATGCGGTAATTAATTTAAGGGAAGTGTTGGAAAATATTGAACCAGAATCGAAAAACAGAAAGCAGCCATTAAAAATTGGCGCTATAACTCGGAAAAAAGCAAAGGCCACTTCAAAAGAAATAATTATTTCAAAACCATGTACGGAACAGCCTATTATAGAATACAAGAGTGTAGAGGAGACATTATTGAAAGAATGTGGTTACTTTCCTTTGTATGCACTGCACACTGTCAATTGTATGTTAATTTCAAAATCTCGAGCACCATGCAACGAGTATGAATTAAAAGGTTACAGATTTTATACAGAATTTCATTCACGGGTGGAAAGAGAACAAACAGGTTTTTTAATTGCATAGGACCGATGAATATATGCATGTCAGAAGTCGTACGGCAAAAAGCTCAAAAGTTGAAAGAATTTTGGACGAGAGCAAACAATTATCGCCGGGAGAACGAAAAAGTAAGAATTGGTTGCAAATCGAAAGTAAACAATGGGGCACGAGAACTCAACGAACAAGAAATTGCAGAGATAAAAACTGCAAGGAAGAAAGGATGGAATGATTACAAATGTACATTGGAAAATTACGCTCCCGTGGAGGACGTATTTGAACGACAAAAAAGTCGAAAAATGAGACAGAGAATTTTAAGAATTGCTCAGAAAGTTTATATATTTTCAATTTATAAAATATTGTACACGATTTCTCAGAAATTAATCTCTTTATCAATTTATTTTTAGTACCCGAAAATTATTACGGCAGCGCCTAAAGTGGAGCAATCGTTTTTACACCGTTACAACATTATGCCCTTTGTTCAGGCAGCCAGGAAGATTATTTTAAACAATCGTTTGTTAAAGGTTCTTGAGAAATTAAAGAATTTAACACCGGAATTAATTAACGACTTTTAAAATCTTACCAGATGTTAATATCACAACCAATTATAATAATAAAAACTTGACTTATTAATTTAATATTGACCTATATTTTTCGAGCGCACTATTATTAATTCACCGTGCTTAACAAGTGCGATAATTATGTAATGTAGATGTTGCAATGTTGAATCAATGAAAATTTTTTGTGCAAAGTTTAATTGAATTTTCCTAACAGGTGGATATGTAGATGGAGCTTGCGTCGAAACCGCCAAAACTTGGGAAAAGCGTCTGCTTGTTCCACTGACACACGTTAACATGTACAACAAATAACGTATGTATTTTCGTACAAAACGTAACTCTACATGGAAAATTTATACTAATTAAAAATCTGAAATTTTAGGTATCAAAAATGTGTATTATATGACCGTTTTATTAGACAAAAACCTGTTACTCAATAATTGGTTCTAGGTTGTACCTAATAATATTGTTCAGATGGATTTGTGTATAACTTTTAGTTGCAATGGTAAGGTGAATAGCAATGATTGGGAATTAAATCGAGAAAGTTTATTCTTGTCTGGAGAAGTGGACAATGTTCTTTACCCGAAAGATGAAAATTCATTAGCAGATATTGATGTGCAACTGTTTGATTGCAATGTGCCTGCATCAACAGGCATATTGGATTTAAAACATTTCATCAAATGCATGGTGTAAGTTTTTCTATTTGTATTGGAGATATTGTAATCGTATGTTACATTAACATCTGAATTTTTGTCAGTATGCAATTGAAGATATTAGGCAGTTATGAGACTTATGATCAGGTATTAAGTTCTAAGGCAAATGATATGGATTTTTATTATGTAAGATGTCTTGTTTGCAAATTTGTTTTATACATTCGGAGATATTTAAATAGGTGAGACAATATTTTTTCCTTATGCTGTACCTATGCATTGATAAATTAAGAATTTTTTAAAAATCAAAGATTATATTTCAGTATAAAATGGGATGTTCAATCTTTGCAAATTATAAACGAAAACATTGAAGAAGAATTTAATATGTTATTTACTACCATAAAACATTTCCTTAGTAGATTAAGAAATGTTCCAGATGCCACATTTCATTATGCACCTTCTAAATTAGGCAACCAGGTTTGTACAAAAAATATTGTATTTATTAAATCAGTTATGAGATTACTATTTTATTTTCTTGTATGTTATAGTGCAATCAACCAGAGTATCATATGTATCATATGCACATTGAATTGCGATGGTTTTTTATCTCACTGGTATACACACGTTCTTTGTATCACCAATATTCCATGGAGAGTCAGCTGGAAGAACTTGAAAATGTTCAGGCAATAATCATCAATGATCTCATTTATATATCATTGAAGATATTTGAAACGGTAAGACTATTGTTTAATGAAATGATGCACATGCATATATTCTTTTATGCTACATTCTTTTTCAACATATTTCAGATGCCTTTAATAAATATACAACAAAAAACACCATATAATTGTACTTGCATTCGTGAGCTATGGCTGATGCTCCAAATATTCATTGATACTTTATCTGACAGAATGAAATCAAAGGTATTATTCTTATAATGTAATACGTATCATAAATAGGAAAAGCCAAAAATTCGTATTAACAAAGTTTTTGTAAAATATTAATTTTAATAGACATTTTGGGACTATGTAAACGATAGTGTTACTGGATTATTAAATAGGAAAGCATCTGATAGCAGAGAAGAATCTACATGCTACAATTTGGTACCTTGTAAGAACACTGAATTGTTTTGTCTATGGATTATTTATAATCTTTCACTTTTATATGGATATAGTAGCGATGGTTTATATTTGGGCTCCAATTGTTCAAGGGTATATGTATTTCAAGTATTTTTCTTCTTATTATCTAAATGTTAATAGTGTCAATTAATTGTTTATGTTTTTAAAGATTAGGCCTAATTACGAGCAGCTAGAAAAGATCTTGAAAACATATATTTCCAAAGGTGGGAAGGATGGTGAACGTGATGAAATTGATGAAGAGTTACGTATCATGATTCCCTTGTTAAATACTATAGTCACAAATTGGTGGAAAACACGAGTTTCTATAATTTCGCTTCTTTGGGACTGCTTTCATAAAAGATTAGATGAACCATTTTTATTACAAACATCTGGTCCTTGGACTTTATCAGTTGAAAAGTAAGAAAATAATTTATGTAACTATGTGTATTCTTGTATGATCTGTTAAAGACATGTTTATTAGGAAAACTGCCATGGATATACTGAAGCAAGTAAGGGATAGACTAAATAACACTGAATATGTTAAAGAATCTAGTTATGGAATGTTTTTACATTTTCTTGGTAAATATCCTGTTTAAGAAATAAAACTATATTTAAAAAATTGTTAATTCAGGTAATATATTATAGGAACATTCTTGCAAATAAATTATAGTAGCAGCGATACGAAACATTGGAACCAGATTAAAGGTCGGATCTACTCTAAATTTTCTAAAAGCAAAGTGGAAGAATTTTCCGTGACAGGTTTATACAATTTCATTTCCCTTTTTTTAACGTTAGCAGTTACTGCGGACACTACAAATGTAGTAAGTATATCTTAAAATCTTTAAAATTTGTCTTAATGAAACATATTTGTCATAAACTTTATTTTGTTTACAGTGTTCGGTGATGTTAGATCTCCTACCACTGACGAAGGAATACAATAACGAGAATAGTAAAAAATATAGCTTAATTTGGAAGGGAAAATTAGTTATTCTTCTTTTGTATAGCGAGCTTAAAATCAATTTTACAAGTATAGCATCTTGTTACATTGATACGGTAGAACATTGAATTGCCATATTTAATTGCTATTTAATAATTTGTATATTTGATACAATTAATTGTCATTTTCAGGTAAATACAATAAGTTGTCGTAAGGATGAAACTTCCCGCGCGATGATGATCAATTTTGTGGATGTATTTAGTACAATTTTATCAGCCAGTACCATAGAGTTAGAAGAACACTTGTTGCTTGGTGGTTGGATAGATAGATACTTGTCAGAATGTTCAAATAAAATGATGGGAACATTGATAAGGGTGCTTGTTAATATTTTTAAAAAATGTTTTAACTCGTTAAATTCAGGTCCGTTACTTTCTTGATCGTAAAACAAATTTTTATTCGTACTCCATTTATTTTTATTCGTATGTTTGTTAGATGGAGCAGGAAAATTGTTGGACGCTTTATGGTGTTATGTCACGTGTAGAGTACGACAGCTTGTTTTTGATCCTCTACTTACGGGGGACCATTACCGGGATATCTCACAACTTGCAGTCTTATTTACTTTGGATGCATTGAAGAATTCAATAATGGCAAAAAAATACAAACACTCAGCTAAGTCTTTGTTTCAGCATTTTGCGTCTTCCGTGGTTGTTAAAGATATTAGGTATATCTAAAGTATGTAATGCTATTTAATATTGCAACTACGAAATGCTTTATGAAACTAGTAATTTGATTTTAGAATTACAAGACATTACTTAGTGTTGATACTCGAAGAAGAGCAGGCAGTTGAAACTCTGAAGAAAGAAATAAAAAATTTTGATACGTTACTTATACAGGTAAAATATCAAAACGCAAAGATGAATCATTAAACAATACGTTAACAAATTATGTGAATTTTAGGCTTGGGTGAAATGCTCCATCATTGCTCACAATACAAACGAAGATGAAATGAAAATTATACAGAATTATATAATCTCACTGAATGAAATACAACAAATGTTTGTAATGTATGAGGATATGCAAGAATTTCAAAACAGCAAGGAGCCCATTTTAGTCTTCATGATGTATTCTATGAAAAAACGAAACACTCTAAAGGTACAAATTTTCAAAATTATATGAATAATCCATGCGTTAATATAAAACTAAAAACTATGAATTGTCTTTTTCAGTCTGAACAAGAACGGATTCAATATGACACAAAATGGAGATCGTATTTTTCCCATATGGAAAAATGGGTTCTTTCGCCAATCACTGAAGAAAGTAAAGACTCGGAATTAGCTTTCTGGATATATAGATGCGTTGGAACATTAATACTTTGTACCTCGACAATGCTTTATACTAAAGTAAGTAGTTCTTAACATATTATATAAAGTTCACTTAAAAATTAATGTACTATGCTAATAAAAATCTTTTTTAGAATCAACCGAATAACATGTTCAAAATGTTACTGAATAAGACTATTCTTTCATCTGATCAACCGTTTTTAAAAAATTTTGGGAAAAAAACATTTTCCATGATACTTTTGGGCATCGAGGCTCTTAATGTTAAAAACGACATATCACTTCATATACTGATAAAAGATCTTTTTGATCAATATATGCCACTCTTAATAACTTCAATTAATAATACGAATAATTTTAAAGTGTCTGATTCATTATCAAAATGTTTTAAAGATGCAAAAGCAGATTTCATACATTTAGTGTTTGAAATCTTGATGACGAACTTCTTTACAATATCGAGCGATAACATGTTACATAAACATTTCTATTTGGTAAGTATTAGTTTCTTACTTAACACGTTTATCAAAACATATTTTACTGTCATAATATATTTATTGTAGGTAATGATATTTCTCCAAAATCTGCTCAAAGGAGGAAAAGATTACGCCAGTCATGTAATAGAATATATTATTTTAATTTGTACACCTTATATCATTGGAGGCTACATAAAAGTTCATGATTACCATCCACATAAACAACACACTTTGGAGTTCATGAGAAATATTGTCAGAAATCCGTATTACAAAGAAAGCCATACTTTACAGTCAGTATTACTATTCTTGGGTTTACAAAGATTTTGGGAATATATTTGATGCAAGTAACAATTTCAGGGAAAAGCTTAACACTGCGATATTCAACACCATCCAAAAATTAATTACAACAAATCAGCATAACACTTTTGAATTTTTGCAATCAATTTTATCGGTGAAGATCGAGATAATACAATTTTTATCGCCAAAAATTGAACGTACCTTAATTGATTTGGAGAGGAATCGTCGCCCGAACGCGGCATCTTTGAGGTGATTCTAACTAATATAAAGTTTTGCAATCATTATCTAAATATTACTCAACGTTACAGATATTCCTGGAATCAACTACTAAATGCTATGAAAAACATAAAAGCGGATCAGTAGTAAGTTTAAAAAAATTTATTAATAAATAATCGACAGTACCATGAAGATACTTCTCCATATTAAGCTACAAATCCAGTATGTATATTTGTTGTATAAACGAATAGCTGCGTTCGTGTACATAGTTATATGAAATTATATTTTATAAATTATACTCACCTAAAGAATAACGTATGAACATAAAACTATGACCCAGAAAGAATGTTTTAATGTTACATATGGTACAGATATGTTGTAATCGTCGAGCTACGAAGCGTACATAAGTATCACCGACTCATAAATAATCATATCTGTCTTGAAGGAAAGAATTGTATTTTACAAAACATGTAAAAAACAACACAGTCACTTTCTTTTCTCTATTTTCGATGTGAGTGTCTCGAACGATGATGCTTCAGTGACGTAGTAGTTGTACTACCGGGGGGCGATCGTCATCCAATTAATTCGAGTCGAGATACAGCACTACGCACAGCATTCCGTAAAGATTGTTCAGTATTGCCATTTAATAATGATTCTAATCTTTCGACGTAACTGTCGATATTTTGTAAGGTTGCACCTTCGTGTGTACCTAAAATCATAGAATTGCTTCCATTAATCAAGATGAAGATTACAGACCTAGGCTAGTGTATACCAAACATTTTTGAAACTTGTATGATATATATTATGTTATGTATTAATTCAACCTGGAAGAGGTACTGCCGTAAAGCAACCAGCTAACTGCGAACGAAGAGAATCCAAATGACGTTGTAAAGCTTGATTTGTCGTACGTTGTTGATTTGTTTCAGACTCCAAACGATTTACAGCTGCATATAGACTGTCCACATGCCGTTGAAGAACAGCATTTTGAGCCTCGTAATCCGACGTAGCTTTTCTTAATTGTCTTAATTCCGCTTCGCATGCTGAAGACACAGAAGTTCATTTGTAAATATTCATTGAAGCACAGGCGAATTTGTAAATCTTTTCAAAATATATTTTACACACCTTTATTGTGATCTAAGAATTCTTCTGTAAAAATGGGAATATCAAAGCCTGTGAAATCATTGTCTTTTTCCTGTTGAATATCCTAGCAGAAAGAGATACATTAAAATAAACAGAAAACCAAGTATAAAACGTTATTGATAACGAAAGACTAGTACATTTTGCTCAGAATTGACATCAGTCCCGTTTCGTTCCTTTTTATTTTCTTGTTGCTTTTCCATAGATTGTTTCTCATTAAACAACCGGTATGCTTCTGTTTGTTTATAGTCGCTAAATTCACGATTATAACGTTCTTTGTCTTGCTCAGCTGCATCCAAATACTGTTGCTTTAAATCAGCTGGTAATGTGCTCCATTCCGAGGCAAGAAGTTTTGTAATCTCAGCAAATGATAAAGTCGGATTGTCATTCCGTACTTTTTCTCTTCGGTCATTTAAGAACCTATATCAAAACTCATTAATATGTATACTTTTAATTATAGTCATCTTTATTAAGTAAACAAAAAGATATTATCTGTTTTTGGTAAGCAAATATACCAATTAACTTTAACATTCTTAAAAACTTTTGTATATGATTTAATTACATAGTTATAATACCTAAAGTATCCTGTGAGTGGTTGCTTTGGAGCAGTTGCATCTCTGGGAGCTTTCTTACGTTTTTTTGACCTATTAGTTGTACTAGTGGTATTACTTCCAATACCAGTGCTTGTATTGTTCTTCTTTATCCCATTGTCACACACAGAGTCAGGTGCTTTGTCTTCTGCACTTACAGGTGATTTATCTAGTTCAAGAATCATGATTTTAAATATAGAAACAATAAATATATGGCACTTGAGAGTGAACAGATTTCAAATTACTCGTATGTTCCTCAGATTCTCCATTGAAAGTTGGTTGCTCTGGCCCACCGTTGCTTTCAGACACATCATTAACTGGTGCACTCTCACTCATTTTGCACAATTATATACTATTATTTTACAACAAAGTCTTATTGGTTTCAATTAAAATTCATAACTGATCCTGTTGAGTTTGATGCAACAGTTGTAGTATCGCTTGAAAGGTTAACTCAAAGTATCGTTTTCTGTTAAATGTAAAAGAATCATTGTAATATTTAATACTTACTGTATATAATGTGTATATTTTTGGAATACCTAATGCATAGGTTGCAATTCACGTTAGCGTATTAGGTTAAGCCGTGAATATGTTAACAATAACTCCGTTGCAATCGCATGGAAATGGAACGCAGCACTAAATCATGACCGGTATTATACAGCGGTGTGTATTTTACCAACGAAAATTAATTGTTCATAACAGAAACAATATGTGGAGAAAAATACATAATCATTAAATATCGTTGGCATAAACACTAAAGCCGACTCCTCATGGAGAGATCTCGGATGACGCTAATTCAAAGTTGATGATTTTACCGCTGAATTAAAACCCTAGACCACTGGTCGAGGAAAGCGTACACGTTTGTCAAATGAGAAGTGTCGATTTCAATTTGAACTCCGTTCAACTTTCAACGAAATATGAGGGGACGCTATCTAAATCACGTGTGAACGGTGATCACTATTTAGCGCAATGTTCAACAGTTGTTTCACAGTGTTACGAAGAAGTGTTCAATTTTGTCTATTGTCACTTACGATGTCGGAACTAATGATGTAAGATGGAAGTAAATGATAATTCAATTATTCTTCACAGTAGTAGCAGGTAACTTATTTCATATCGTTCATTTTGAAGATTTTTCTTTAACGTGCTATTAATTTTCATTCAAAGAACAACACTACTTTGAATATCATTAAACAAAGTGGGGATATTATCCCGGTTATTTTTTGTTCTAATTTTTCTTAATTCTATTATTACAATATATTTATTTACTTTCAGTATAACAGTGGCTGATTCTGTATGGAAATTTATCAACAGCCCTATTATTGCAATCTTCTCTGATTTAAAAAATGCAACTGCAGAACAAATGCTTCGATCCCTTTTAGAGTCAATATTAAAGGGCTCTGCTACTTTAACTACAGTTTTAATTCCACCATATACCAATGGATTGCAAAATGATGCGTTACAGTGTCAATATGCAGGTAAGAAAATGATATAACATGTGGGATATAATATATAACATAATAATATAACATTGTATTCTATTATTTTTGCAGCATTTACTACTTGGCTTTTTGGTACAATGTTTTATATAGTTGGAGAGCCTTTGAGTAATGAAATTCTTGCAAATAGCATAGAGATTCAAGCCTGCATGCTTAGAATATTGTCTAGACATCATATCACTATGTTTGAAATTATTAGTAACGAATATATGAATATTCTTCAAGAAATATTGGAATTTTATAAGTCTAATGGAGATACGGAAGAACTAAAATTAGCTAAATTTAATGCAGACAGAGAAATCATAGAGAATTTAGATCTACAAGCATTCCCTGTTACAATAATGTATTCTGATGTACCACAAGTACAGATGTCCATTTTGAAAATTATTGAGAAGACTGGTGTTTCGGTGTGGAATGAAAAAGTACTTTCAGATATTATGATCAAAATGCTCATTGTATCTGTTCCAAATGTAAAGATTATGGTACTAAATCTCTGCACAAAATTAATAGAGTCTTCTTTAATGAACAGAGAGGAAGTGGAAAATTTGATGCTCCACTTTATTGAAATTGTGAAAATAATTCCTGCATGGTTATCTTCTCATGAATTACAAGGAAATCAATTATGTCCATTTGTACAGATACTTACTCGATTTATTCAATCATCACCAATTTTTTCAAACAGTATTGAATTATGCTTTCAAATCAGTCATCTGATGGTTCATGAATTCATCAAATATGAAAATAATGTAGAAGCTACGGAAAAGCTGAAAGAAATAATTTGTAATAAAATGAAGCAGTACTTTGCCAAGGAACCAAGAGTTTGTACGCTCTCCGAGACAAAAGAATTTATTTCATATTTCGAGTACTACCCAGATTTCATTGTTATTTTTAATCACTGTATTCTCACTGAAATCAGACGCAATTTCAGTAAGAATAATTTAGTCAGTGAGTTTTGTGAACCATGGAAGTTTGTAAGAAATGAACTGATTTTTGCAGCAAAGTCAAAAAAGTTAGAAAAATGTGTACACATTTTAAAAGCATCAGGTATTTTACAATGTTGGTTAAAAGAGCTAAAATTATCAATGAATTTGTATGCAACCGATTTAGATGATATTTTGGAAATACTCATACAGAATTTGAGGTCAGGGCAGTGCCAGCAGGGACAAATTATCTTTGAGTGTTTCATACATATGGTGGCACATAATGAAGCAAACAAGGATGTTCTCCATAAGTTACTGGCACTACCATTCATTACAAATACTGAAATATCTGCAGAAATAATTAATAATCACGTGAAAGAGGCAGCAGAGTCCTTAGATATTGCAACAAAATTAAGATGCCTTAAAGCTCTTTGCGAATTTGGTAATGGAATGGAAGCATTAAACTTGTTAAATAATTGTGTGTCAAGTGGTAGAACTGACTTAGCAGTTGCAGCAGTGCAGTAAGTACTTTGTATTGAAAAGTTTGTCCACATTGTAAGAATTAAATGTTTACAGGAATAGTATACTGCTTCTCAAAAACGGGGAAACTAAATTTGAAGATATCTCGAGATACGTTCTTCAACCTGCATTACAGTCAAAAAAAGAGGAAGTCTATGAAAAACTTGTAATTGTATTGGGTAAAACAAGTTGTTACTTATCTGGGCATGCAGACTTTGTAAGGTAATGTTTTAATGATTCTCTTTAGAAGTACAGATTAATAAATATACTATTCTTTCCCTCTAGGGAACCAGACAATACAAAATGGAAAATACAATGTAAATGTTGTGCTGGCAATGTTAAAAGCGATATAAATCCTTATGTCTATCATGTTTCAAATGAATATGATTATCTTCTGAGTTCATATCTTAGTGTATTATCATCAGAGTTTCTTTCAGTGCGTTTCTGCATTTCCGAAAATATATTATCATTTTCGAATCATATAAATTCATTTAACAAACATGAAATAACAAAAGTGTGGTGTTCGTACATAGAAGACGAAAATCCCATGACTCGTTCTAATATTGCTACAGCAATAAAAGGAATACTAAATAATAAAATAAATATAGCAAAAAAGTCTGTTGTATCTATAGAGTACGATGTGCCCGCTTCATTGGATGAATTTGTCAATTTAATAATTAATACTATGGCAAGTGCACTTATGAAAGCTCTTCAAAGTTCTAACCACGCGCTTCAGGAAACCGTACTTCTTACAGCTAGAAATTTTGCAAGGTAAGGTAAATTTGAAGCAATTTAAATTTCTGTAAAATGAATTATTAATTATTTATTTTCAGTGTTCAATTGTATACTGCTGAGAGACGAATTTTGAACTTATTTCTCATCTCTATACTATATTCTACATCATCTCCGACCTCAGTAGCGTTTGCTACAACTGCCTATAGCGACTATGCTAAATTATTGAACGTTTCAACCAAAGTGTTATATGTAAAATATAAGAAAGATTTTCTTAAGGTACATATATTGAAGCTATAAATTAAAATGTAGAATTTTCATACAATCCTCTTAATTTCAGGTCATAATGCAATGTGCTGTGCATAATTTTATAAAATATTCTTACAATGTGGCCACGTCGATACACCGTGTTGCAAAGTGCATTGGATACGAGGGTTCACGGCAATTATTGCGCAAAGACGGTCATTATGCAGTTAGCTTTTTACTTTCTTTCGGCGTTGACCCACCAAATGTAAAAATTTTGTTGCGTGATATAGCAGAGTTAGTCAGCATGGATGAAAAACAGATGTTAAAAGAATACTTTCCTGTAAGTGAATGAAGTGCAAAAATGATGTCTATCCTGGCAACAATATAGTAATTCTTACTGTTTTTTAGTACATTTGTAGTTATGCATTTTTAAATATGCCTCTTGCTACTACTGCAGAATGCTTAAGATTAGTATCAAGTATCACGCAAATGAATTTATCTGTACTGACAAGACAATCGTTTATGGTAATATATAAATAAGTCTATAGAGATAATTAATATATTATTGAAATTAAATTTTAATATTTTCTATGAATATAATTTACAGGGTATATTTGAGGAATTTATGTTGAATTTTCATGAATCTCCTGAGAAAGTGATTGGATTGTTGAAAATCATTTCTGATTATGACAACAGCTCGGAAAAAAATTACATTACACATAAAGGAATTGTAAGTTTGCATCTTTAGTAGTATTCACAATAAAATTTTGCAATCTAATCCAAAA